CATTCTCCATGATCACCTTGGCATGTCTAAGGTCAGTGCAAGATGAGTGCCAAAAATGCTCACACCGCTTCAGAATCAGCAGCGAGGCGAGTCTTCGCGCGCGAGTTTTTAGACCTTTGTAATGAGAACAGGCATGAAATTATGAACTGAATTGTGACTGGGGATGAAACTTGGGCTCATCACTATGAACCTGAGTCAAGGTAGGAGCAGTGGTATAAAAAAGGTGCAGCACCGGCTAAGAAGTTCAAGATGTAACAATCGGCTGGAAAGATTATGGCTTCAGTTTTTTGGGATTCATAGGGGATGTTATTATCACAAGAGAGTACTACGCTACGCTACTAGAAAAATTAAAAGATGCGATTAATGAAAAAGAAAGCGCAAAGTGGTCTCGAAATGTGCTCCTTTTGCACGACACGTTCCCAAAATAATGTTGCAATGGCTTCCTTACACAAGTAGGCTTCAAAATTTTAAACTACCTCCCCATAGTCTTGATTTGGCCCCTTCGGATTACTATTTGTTCCTTAATATGAAATATACCGAGTAGTAGCGGTGCAAGAAATTTGCTTTGGGAAGATAACCAGTGATCTGTAGTGCTGTTTACTGATGAACCCCGATTCGGTTTCCATCACGATTCGCAAAGAGTCTGCAACACCCTCAAGAAGTGTCACCAGGGCGAGACCGTTATGGTTTGGGCCGGCCTCGTTTAGGTCAGAAACACCATGACTTCAGAAAAATACCGTGACTAGTCTACCCCCCTCGACTACAAATGGGCCAAGAATTCACGCTCATGCACGACAACGACCGTCACTTGCTACATATTTATTTATCTATGGTCACCACACAGCGCGAGAGTATTACTGACCGCCCGAAACACTGGGTGCGTTTGGCAGAAAAAAGCGCTAGCAAGCGCTTGTAAGCAAAATGGCGATCGTAAGCGGTAAGCGCTGTTAAATCGTAAGTAGCTATTTTCCTCTAGGACACGAAGTTAGCTTTAACCGAGAAACCCAACATAATTTAAATATATGTTTGAAAAGTATTCATATTAAAAACTTACCAATCATGAATTTTTAATAACATGTATATGTTTATTCATGTCATTATATTACTTAAAACTAATATTGCACAAAACAACTTATAGACTCTACTTCAAAACAAACTAAATTAAATAAGCAAAATGGCGGATTGTGTCAGCGCTACTGAATTACTGAAGTAGCAATCGTGTCCTGGCTGAAAACTATTTCAGCGCTTGTAAGCGCTTGCTAGCGCTTTTTTCTGCCAAACGAACCCACTGTGCGTTGAAGATGAGCCAACTTCGACGAATTAGCGCTATGCGCGAAGCACACACCTAAATATAATCTAATGTAGGTACCTCAACCACCATATTATGCCACATACCTATGAAATATTACCTTGAGATTTCAAACTGTTTCTTAAAATCAAATAAATATAGAAATATTAAAAGATAAGAAGTCTAAGAGAACACGCATTGGCTATTTATAATTTCGAGATATCCAGTGTGTGGTTTCATATACGTATAAACATATGAGTATGTATACTTGGTCAATTTGTAATAAATATTTTTTTGAGTATCTAGTTTCTTTTATCATTACCCTCGTACCTTTAACACGGGCATGCTTGAATGGCTCTCCTTATTAACTATATTATATTCATGCCAACAGAGTCGCAAATACAATTCACATGTACATATTATATAGTTTTAATTCACTTGCTCTCTATAATTCCTCCAATCATCGTTTCACTCAACTGTGGGCTCCCTATATTTCCTAGTAGCTTTTCGCAACAGAATGGATATACAACACAGGAATAGAGCCAACAGCATTCATCTATTTTTTATATGCCTTATAGGCTCATTACTCTATCGTTAGGGGTCACCCGCACTAAACTACACTCACGTCAACGCAGCGAAAATTTGCCGCAATTTTACAAAATGGCGCTATGAGATGGAACAGTATGAAGGAACGCCTTCACCCATAATTTATTTCCGAAAATATTAAAAACTTAACACAAGAAAAATGTTAGCTAATTAAATCGGACTTGCTCATTAAAAAAAATACAATTGTGTTTTTGCTTCAATCGATAGTGTATCACTTATGAAGTCCAGTCTCGCATTTTATCGTATCAATTTTTTTATCTAAATGTTAATACGTGTCGTAAAAGGCGACAGACGGAAGCAAACCAGAAAATAGGCAGCAGCGTCTTCCTCAAGCGTGGCGTCTATGACAAGTACTCCCCTCCATGAGGTAGGCAACTTCAATACAGCTCGTATTGAAGAAGCGATCAAGCAGAACTATGGCACAGTAATAACAGCATACAGCCACACGCAAGTGTGAGTAACGATTCGGGAGCATAGTATTATCCGACACTATTCCGATGATATCGCGGACGTCCAGTCTGAGCGAGATTAGAATGTTTCTCCAGCACCTTAAAACGGCAAGATCTCGGTCGAGCATGGCATTCCAGCAGAGCCCTTCATAAGTCCACTGCTGAACATAAGCCTCCCCCAAAAAATTAACTCTGGCTGTTTAGTACAAAAAGTAGTTTTATAATTTATATTTGTTTATAGATATAAACTGGAATCTGTTTCTCGTGGAAATTTCCAACGAAAATAAAATGTGAAATATGGAATTTGACAGCAAACGTAAAATTTCGCGACGAAAGTGGCGCCGCAGCTACGGAACTTCGTGAAAAAAAACCTTTAAAATTGCCGTTCTCCAGTACTGGCCATTTTAAACAAAGACATTTAAGTAGTAGTAATAGACCGGACATCAGCACCAAAATTGTCGTCTGTAACTTTTGTCCTATAGGATGTATCTCCGATTTTTGTCATTTGGTCTTAGTGACATCATCAAAAGGTCAAGACGTATTCGTTTCCCTGCGCCTGCGTTGCACGTGCAGTAGCGCCCGTGTGGCTTCTTGTTTCGCTTGTATAAAACGGACGGAGCGGTCACCGTTAGGGCAGTTTCATAGATAACTGACTATATACTAGAGAGGCAGTTTTGGTTCTGGCGTGGATTGGTGCACTTGTTGTATTCCGCTACTAGCTCAACCTCGACTATTCGGATAATTAACTCGTGGAAGCGAATTAATTATTATTCTCAGCTGTTAAATTAATCTCAGTACAATTTATACTTGATTATTTTTGTTCATATCAATGTAGTCTGTGTATTTCATGATTGTATGAAGTGATATATTGTAAATTAATTCTGTTTAAAAGATGTGTCCCGCTGGGTTTCTTGCTGGTTCTTCCCAGGACAGAGGTTTCCTTCGAACCAGTGTTCATAGTACTATATTGAATAAAAATGATTCGATTCCATTCCAAAAGCCTTTTACGTAATAACCCTACGTTACACATAATTAAGGAACTACCTTCACACATCAGAAGTGAGATTAAAGCTTTCGATAAAAACACCACATTTTATAATATCTTTCGACAGATACGTTAAAAATTCGACTAATTATGGAATATGAGTGACGTCGCGTTGTGCAGCAACGACGTTTACCGATTGAATATTACAAATGAACGCACCACCTGCCCGCTTCCGATCTGGAAATTTCGAATTGGAAAATGAACCCCGTGGTCGCCCGAAAACTTTGGTCGACAATAACGAATTAAAGGCGATTGTGGAAACTGATGTTGGGGAAAAGGGTTCTTGAGTCCTCCGGCGAAGTAGGGCGACCCCCCACTAGATGGAGTGACGACCTGGTAAGACATGCAGGAAGTCGATGGATGCAGGTGGCTCAGGACCGTGCTTTGTGACATACCTTGGGGAGGCCTATGTTCAGCTTTGGAGTTGTGAAGGGCTGTAATGATGATGATGATGATGATGTGGAAGCTGAGCTACGGCTGAATTAGCAGCAGCATTCAACATTAGCATTAATACAACATTGGTCCATTTGCGTCAAATTGGCAAGGAAAACAACTTGAAAACAAATGGGTGTCCCACGAACTCAATGATCGCTAGCGCGAAGTGCGCGTCGAGACATGCCTTGCACTGCTCAAGAGGCACACAAACGAAGGAATTTGGAACCACATTGTTACCTACCTACGACGAAAAATAGATTCTATTTGACCACCACAAGCGCTCAGCAAGTTACTTGGATCCTGATTCAGTACCCAAACATGCCATAAACGATAACTTAACTCTAGAAAAGTGATGGTATTATACGTAAATTCGCTTTAGAAGCCCTGGGATTAAGTAAAAATAAATTGCGCATTCTGGCAAGAGCCCTACTGGACACTGTTGTCTTAAAAAGCACATGTCCAACCTGAGACTAAGCAAATCAAGGATGTGCAGGTTCTGTTTCCTAACGGAAGAAACGCCTCTGAATATTTTAAGAATTTTTTTTTATTACTTAGTTGATATATATTTTATTAACACGTACTCCTAAAACCCTCACAAATAACGACTAGCGCGGCATTTTGCTCAAACATACACTCATCTGGGGTGTTATGTACTCCGCCCAGAAGAAGTGAAATTGCTCACAGCTAAACAACTCTTTCTATTCATTGAAGACTGTGACGAGCTTAACAATGAACTATAGCCATAGCAGAGATCGCAATAGATGTTTTAGGTCGCAGTGATACTGGTCTATTTCCCTAGACCTACATAGCTGCTCCAAAAAATTCTGAAAAGCTGAGCTGTAAACGTCAGTACTCTTTCAGTGTCACAATATACAAAAATTACTCAGTAGTAAGAAAAATACTAAGTATATACAAAAAATGTAAGCAATACTAATGAAAAGGCGATTTATATCATACTATTTACTCATTAGTATTCCTTCTAATGAGTGTTAAAATTATTATTATAAATTAGTATTGCTAGTTATCGTAGGTTACTGTTACTATTTGAAAGATGAAAAGGTCAAGTCAACATTTAAATATTTATTGTTTATACGGTCTCTGAACTAATGATAAGAGAACATTTAATAACAATGATGCATTTTAAATTCAATTCAAACTTGAACGAAACAAGTAAGCAATGATTAAAATCGCAGTTTTAGGTGCTGGGGTAAACGGGATAACTTGCGCATTGAAAATTAAAGATAAATATCCAAATTTCGATGTAAGTATGTGAAAATAATAAGTATAAATAAAATGGATTACAGTATTACGTTTAACGTCACTATTTCGTGTTCATAAATTTTCAGGTAACAATATTCTCAGAGAAATTTACACCAGATACGACAGGAGACGGTTCAGGAGGACTGTGGTATCCATATCTTTGCGGAAACACAACTCAAGAGCAGCTCACGTACGTAGAATCCCACGTTGTCTTATGCATTTCACGGTGATAGTTAGAAACGTTCCTGGGATTGTAATACTGATCTATTTTTGTGTGTTTCGTTACTTTAATTTAAATACTTTTAGCCAACTTAACTGTTTTATTAGTTAAAAATATTCATTAAATATTTCATCTACGATACAAGTAGTTACGTTGTACCAGTTCTGGCTCACTGGGTCAGAGTGGTACAACGTTCGTCGACTTACGATCCTAAAAATAAAGCGTTTTGGCATGCTTTGATCACGAATCTGCGGTCCGTTTTTGCGTAGGATGCACGGTTCCGGAGATGTGCAGATCAATTAAGCAATATCTAATTGATAACCGGTGAGGGCCTCCACCGTCATTAGCGTCCCATTGTTCTTATCTATTGTCATTGTCTATTCTTCCTCGGCGTGTGCGTCGACTTATCTGTGCTATTGTATTATACTTCTTTGTTCCTATCTACAATGCTAATCTGAATCATCAATAAAACACATTATCGAATTTTGTTACGATTTTTATTTACAAAACACAAAATTTTATTACTTATTATCTATAAAATAGGAGCGAAACATATCATCCACTAAAATATCGTTGTACAGTGTACAGTCTAAATATACTCGTAAAACTATGCATTGAAGATCCCTGAAACTTATATAGCAAATACATTAAGCAATATTCGCCACAAACTGAAGTCCACTCATTCTGAATCCTATCAACATTCCAGTTCCATCTTTTACAATTCCTTTTTAAAAACTCTAGATGATATCGTACAGGTGATCGTCCATATGAATCAAAATATTGACCGACGTCATTCGTATCGATATATAAAGCTACCCAATGTGACCCTGGTTTATCATCTGTATCCAAATTGCATATTATATACGTTGGTACGTGGGTATACATGGGCAGTCTATTAGCAACATAAACATTATTTTCTAGACTGGGGTGATGATCTTTTTCAGATGTTGTTGTACATCTAGTGTATCCATGATATTACTGCTATTAGTACATTATTACAGTACCAATCTACTCAATGACTAACATAGGAATGATCAATTATACTTTCTAAATATTAAATCGCATTTCTTTTGTGATATACAAATCGTATTTGAGTCATCGATATATCAAACGAGACGCAACACGAAGGAATGTTGAGATAAGCAACAGAATGTGAGAGAGAGTTGACGCATAAAGTTACTATCAGTTCCACTGCAGAAATTCTTTAGATTAGAATTATTACTTACTGGTGCTATATAAGACCGAGCAGCTGCAGTCATAGACTTAGTGTATGGTCGTTTAGGAAAACATCGTGAGGAAACCTGCATGTCTGAAAAAATTTCGAAGGCATGTGAAGTTCGCCAACACGCATTGAGGCAGCGCAGCGGACTTTGGCAAATCACCAATATTCCATGCGGTCTTTTATCACCATTATTTCATGCGGACATAATGAAATGTAACAGTAGACAAAATCGTATTTTATGAATGGTATCTGAAATGGGTACTAATCATTAAAAAAAAACTATCAAAAATAAAATATCAATGAACATAGCAGACGTACTGAGACAGCAGCCGGGTCTAACTATTAGGTACTAAGAACCACCCAGGTGATCCCATACGAAGAAAAAAATCATCATAATTGGTATAGCCGTTTAGGATAACAAGAATTACGAACACGCACACCTGAACTTTTTATATAAAGACTATGCGTGCAACATATTATTATTCATAATAGTTTATTTAAACTATCCAAAAAAAACTTACCCTGATCAAAATTTGGTGGTCGGCGTACAATTTCCGGAAATGTTTACGTAAACACGCCTGCAGCCTGTGATGCAAAGTGATACGTCCTCGCTCTGGGAAGGCCCGGTCTTCACTGATCGGGTGATCGGATCGATTTTGCGCGGTCGATAATATAGTTCACTTTGCCATTTAGTAATAAACGAAATTATTATTTATTTATGAAATAAAATTTAGTTTCGAATAAAGGGTTATCTTAAGGTAAATTTGTAATTTTTTAAATTAATTAAAAGTGTTTCTTGTAATAGAAAAAATACTTACTTCGAACGACGTTTTCTGGAAATTACGTTATTTCAACAATTTTTTTCTGCTATATTTGGATAGAAATTAAAAAAAACTGATTTAGCTACAAACAAGTAGACCGTATACTTATATTATATATTAGTTATTTGTTTTTATAAATATTTTGTAATTTCGTTGTAAAACGAAGACAAAAATCACTTGATCGTTACTTTTCGGAAAAAGGGTTGTGAATATTGGTGATTTGCCATTATTATATAGATAATATGATACATCCCTTCAAGCCAGATATTAGATTAAGAACTAGACTATTATAATAAAAATAAAAAAAGTTAAAATTCATTTTCCTGTTCACACAAACAGTGATCAGATTTGTCCGAAATGAGTTGATTTCGCGCACGGGGCCTTAAACAAGATTGAATAAAACTATTTATACGGATTTTATCGCGTTTGATTAAGGTATTTTTAATTCCCGACGTTTTGAGAAACGGCAAATCAAAGGTGAGTGATGTGCTCGCCATTGATGTTAATACCGTATCCTTTCCAGTCCAGTAGCTTGAAAACGTCTTCCAAACCTTAAAATCTTGCAGTGGTATAATTGGGTTTGAATTCAATTTTGTTAATTATAGGATCCCCAGCAGATGACAGCAACTATCCATTTTCTCTTTTAAAATTAAGATGTTTTTTTTTATTTCAATAGCCTCGCGTCATCCTTGCTAGGAATCGGTGTTCTTTTGCGAGAATTTATGGTTTATCAAATCTGATGTAATGGTGAGGACGATCTTGGATATGTTCACAGCTTTAATTTTAGACAAAGTATATAATCAAAGGTTCACAGACTGTAGACTTCCCGGAGTGTAACTACGCAAGGTGAAATTTGAATCATTGGTACACAAACAAGTCACTTCCTTCATTTTGAAATGCAACTACCTTAGTACATATCAATCTGGCTTTCGCCCAGGACATAGTACCACCACAGCGTTACTTCAAGTTACAGAAGATTTTAGAGAGCGCATGGAGAGGTCATGTTTGACTGTTCTGGTCCTTATTGACTTTTCAAACGCATTTAATTGTGTCGATCACGACTTACTCCTTGGATTACTTTCATGCCTAAACTTCTCCTCGTTAGTACTGAACTGGTTTTCCTCTTATCTTCGAGGTCGCCAGCAGGCTATTCGGGCTGGTCAGGATTTTTCCGACTGGTGCGATCTGTGTCTAGGTGTACCGCAAGGCGGCATTCTCTCTCCTCTCTTGTTTACGTTGTTTATCAATCTTCTTACTACCCACCTTTAATGTTCTTACCACTTCTATGCTGACGATCTTCAATTATACTCAAAAGCGTCCTCGGTTGAAATTGCTACCGCTATTGCAGCTATTAATCAGGACTTACAACGCATTTCAGACTGGTCACAGCGATTTGGTATAACGGTAAATCCCAGTAAATGCCAGGCTATTATCATTGGTAGTCGTCGATTGGTGTCACAACTTAACATACCTGATCTACCATCCATTCGCTATGAAAACTGTGTAATTCGTTTCCGCACTAGTGTCAAGGATCTGGGTTTAATTATCGACCCGACCCTTAGTTGGAGGTTACAGGTGTCAGAGATTTGTCGTAAAGTTACAGGCATACTTCGTTCCATCTATCGTCTTAAGTTCTTTCTGCATCCTTCAACTAAGCTTCTACTCATCCAATCTCTAATTCTTCCATTATTTGACTATGCCGATGTTTGTTTCTCTAATATCTCTCAGGAGCTGCTAAGCAGGTTGGACAGGTTACTTAACAACTGCATACGATTCATCTTTGGCCTGCGCAAATATGATCACGTATCAGAATTTAGCTCCCAATTAAAGTGGTTGACTATACGCCAGCGCAGAGATTTTCGAATGCTGTCCTCTCTGTTTTCAGATCTTAATGATTCTTCCTCACCCCTTTACCTAAAAGAAGGATTGCAATTCCGTAGTGACACTCATTCTCTCAATATCCGATCTTCACACAATTTATTACTCTCGACTCCTCTCCACCATTCTGGGTTTATGTCAAATTCTTTCACAGTAACTTCCATCTCCCTCTGGAACAAATTGCCTGTTGACCTGCGAATAATACCTGCCAAAAACGTTTTTAAAAGAAAACTATACGAACATATTCGTAACCAAAAAATTTGAGTCCACTTACTTTATATGTTTACAGTTATTTGTATATAAATTTATTGAGATATATATGTATAAATATGTGTATTAGTTATATTATTTATATGTGTAGCAGGTACATATTTGAATTGAATGTGATCATGCTCGCCTTTTGTACAAAATCCTTGGTGCAATAAAGAATAAAATAAATAAATAAATAAATTTAAGTGAGCGATTAGCGCTTGAGCTACAACGATTTTTAATTTACTTTTTCTTAAATTTGTACAGGAAATGGGGTGGAGAGACGTATGCTTTCTTACATGATTTGTGGTATCAAGGAGGCAAACATATTTCTGTTATGCCAATGTACGAACTGTACAGGCAGAAGAAGGAGCTACAACGGCCGCTGTGGGCGGACTTAGTGTTCGGCTACAGGGAACTCGACAAGACACAACTCGATTATTTGAGTCGAATGCATTCGATTAATTATGCGTATGTAAAATTTATTATATAACTTTTAATATAATATAACTTTATGGTTAGAAGAAGAAGCCGTGGTAGCTCAGATGGTTAACGCTCGCTGTAAATATAACAGAACGCGAGTAACCCGGGTTCGATCCCCGCCGGCACCAATGAAATTGTTAATTGCAATTTTAAGTGCTGATTTACCACGTGCTCGCCGGTGAAGGAAAACATCGTGAGGAAACCTGCATATCTAAGGAATAAGAAAAAAATATATATATTTCGAAGACATGTGAAGTTCGCCAACACGCATTGGGGCAGCGCGTCGGACACTTCCTTGCCCTAAAACCCTCTCAGAAACAAGGGGAGGCCTGTGCCCAGCAGTGGGACGTATATGGGCTGTAACTTTACTTTTACTTTTTATGGTTAGATTATTAATAGAATCCTAGTTGAGGCATTCGTTACCTACATTGCTAATATTGTATATAAAATATACTATACAATATTACCAAAGCAAAAAAATTATATATTTTTTTAGTTGTAGAGCCACGCTGCAGCTATATTATGGTTGAAGCAAGAATGGGTCGGCTCGACCGGGGTAGGACTACGCTCACAAAGAATTTCAACGTGATATAGCAGCTTAATGCTGCTGGGTTTCGTATGGTGAGTGTAGAGAACCGCAGACTCTTTGTGCTGGAATCGAGGCATTTCATCTTAGTTCTCAGGGGTGACAACGTATCTAAATTTCAATGCTTGATTGAGGATAAATATCTATAGGCTACAGTATCCACTTACAATCAGATGGACTGTGTACTTGTTTGTCATCCTATATATACATAATACATAAACACTCACACCTGTCACATAGAGTGGTAGGCAGAGACTACGGACTTCCATTTGGCACGATCCTGACACACCTCTCTCGCCTCCTTTACATCCATATATCTACGCATACACGCTCGTCGGTTATGGGTACTTCTAACGTGGCCCATTTTCAAAATATCGCCAATTTGGTTGATAAACCTTCGTCTAGGGCGGCCCTTCCCTACTCTGCCGTTCACGTCTGCAATATAAATTTGCTTTGTCACTCTTTTCTCGTTCATTCTTTCTACATGACCATACCAGCGAAGCATTCCTTTCTTAATAGTGGTCACAACATCATCTTGCACACCACATTTTTCTCTTATCTCAGAATTTCTCACCCTGTCAATCTGATTCAGCCCTAGCAAAATCCTTAAAGACCGCATAACTACATAATTTATTCTACTTTCGTGCTTCTTCATCCTATACTATGAAAAAAATTAAAAATTTAATAACTATATGCCAAACGATGTGATTTACTTAGTTTATAGGCACTAATCCCTTTTTTGCCTGGATTAGTGCCTATAAACTAAGCCAATCGCTCGGAATTGTGTGTAATGTTATGTAAGTAGTGGTACAACACAACTCCATATTAAGTCTTTTTTTTTTCTTTTGTTTTTTAACCCTTACCCGGGAATGCATATGGCCTCCCCGAGCCTGATTTTTTCCCTTTATTGCCAATGTCGGTACACGACCATGATCTATTAAGTATACATCACTACATACTGTATAGGTACAGTATGTAGCAAATACCCGGTTACCCTTTTAAGGACGATAGATAAACGAGGGCGGGTCAAAACGTTCGCATAATGGAAGAGTTAGTGAAGGGAGGGAAGTTTTTTTATATGTCTCTACTTGGTGACTTAATACAACTATAAATACCAAGTCTCAGTCAGATCGATTCACTGACCTTTAAGATGTCACAGGATGAACAAGTCAAACAGAAAGTGTACACCAACTATGAAGAAAATTTGGTTTTGTGACGTGAATCAGTTCCTTACTAACCAAGGGGAAACGCCACATATATAGAGATGTCATCTGTTTACGGGGACTCTTACCCTGGAAAAATGATGATTTATAAGTGGCATAGTCTTTTTAAGCATAGCAGAGATTCCATTAAATTCGATCAGCGCTCGGGCCGACCAATTGACCGACAAGTTTCTCAGACATTATACGTGGTAGAGACATGCTGCTGCAGCATGTATTAGTAGTATAGTTGTAGCACAAAGGTCTTCGTAGTGTTTCCCGTAGTCGACATTTATGACAATCATGAAAGGAGGTGAAGCGTATTCAACGTATTCACAGCATATCATAGTCGCAGTAGAGGTGGCGTAAAAGAATCCGCTATCCTAAATCATCTCTTGTAAGTGTCGTCAGTAACGACACAGGGAAATTTAAACAGAGGATGCACAGCAGCGTTTTCCTCATAACAACTCAAAATATTAAAAACTATACCTGATAGAGCCATGCCGCAGTTATATTGGTAGTATAGTTGTAGCACGAATGCGTCGGCTCCACCGGGGAAGGACCACGCTCTCACAGAATACCAGCGTGAAGTAGTAGCTTAATGCTGCTGTGTTTCGTATGGTGAGTGTAGAGAACCGGAGAGCCATTTTATTGGAAACGAGGCATTACATCTCAGTGCTCATGGATGACAACGCATCTGCATTTTGATTCGTTATCGAGAATGGATGTAGATGTTTATGGCTCACAGCAAGCACTTATACCATCAGGTGGACTTAGTGCTCGTTAGTCACCCTTATCTTATAAAAAAAAAACATTGTCGAAAAAGTTGAAAAAATTGTTTTTGAAGATGGTCGTCTGAAGTTAAAACGGATTGCAGAAATGACTGGAGTATCATATACGACCGTTTTAAACATTCTCCATGACCATCTTGGCGTGTCTCAGGTCAGAGCAAGATGAGTGCCAAGAATGCTCACACCGCTTCAGAAACAGCAGCGGGTTGAGGTTGAGCGTTCGTTGTATTCTTATAGGAGAGGTTTATAAGTTATTACAGCTCAAGCTGTATAAAAAAGTCTGTATTATGGGATATAAGTAAGCTTGGAGTTCTTAATCAGAATATGAAAAATCTGCTATACTACTTTAAGTATTTTGTAACACTTTAATCCGATTTTATAATTAAAGCTGTATATAAGCTGTTTTTTGCATGCTGTCACTTGCTTATTACAGCTCTTAATGTTATTATAGTATCATTCAAATATTATTGCTGAACAATGGTGTATGCAAAGTCCCTTCTAAAACTTATTCTTATGGCGTAATTACTTACTTACTTACTTATCTTCACGCACAATCCCTAACGGGGTAGCCAGAGAGAACAGATCGCCAAGTGTCACGATCCTTACATACCTCTTTCGCTTCTTTCAGGTTCATTAACTTCTTCATACATGCACGTCTAGGTATCCGAGTACTCTTGACCCTCCCCTCTTCGAGCAATTTGCTCACATGGTCTTCGAAAGTTAGTCTCGGTCTACCTCGACACCTTTTAATATTTACTTTCGCTCTATATATTTTCTTCACCATTCGGTCTTCACTCATTCGTTCAACGTGCCCAAGCCATTGGAGTACGCCCCTATCAATTTTTGTGATAAGGTCATCTTTCAATCCTGCCATATTGCGAATCTCTTCGTTTCGCTTTCGGTCGGCTAAGGTAACGCCACACATTTTACGAAGAGATCGCATCTCCACTGCATGCAACTTGCTTTTATGCTTCTTCTGGCATACCCAGGTTTCGCTGCCATATAACAAAGTCGGTACCAACACTGCATTATGTATTGCAAGGCGTGCACTCTTCACCACGCCTTGCCTTTTTACTAATGCATTCAGGGCACCATTGACTTTGTTTCCGGCAGCGACACGCCTATCCACATCTAAATCACATCTTCCATCCCGGCTGAAAGCACTCCCCAAGTATACAATTTCATTTACCTGTTCTAGACATTCCTGATTTACCCATATTTCACATTTCGTTCTCTCTTCGTCCTTTTCAAATACCAGAACCTTAGTTTTATTAGCATTCAAACGGAGACCTTTAATTTCACATTCCTCTTTCATACACGTGACTAATGCCTGCAGTTCTGCTTCTGATGGTGCAATAAGCACTGCATCATCAGCATACAGCAGACAATTAACTTTTATGTCACCCAATTTCACACCAAAACAGCGATTTTTCAGCTTCTGTAAACAGCTGTCGAGATACAGTATGAACAGCCAGGAAGACATGACACAACCCTGTTTTACGCCCGCTTGGACGCTAAACATGGGTGACAGGTCATGCCCTACCCGCACACAGGCTTTACAGTCATAGTAAAGTGACTGCACAGCCCTTAACAATCGACCATCCACACCATATCCCGGCAACAGTTCCCACATTTTCTTCCTTATAACCTTATCAAATGCTTTCTCCAGATCCACAAAAGCACAGAAAATCTTCTGGTTAACACTCAGAAGCTTCTCCGTGATCATGCGGAGAGAAAACATTTGATCCGTGCATCCTCTTCCAGGTCTAAATCCGCATTGTGCCTCCCATAAGAATCTTTCCGATTTCTCTTGCATCCTACTTTTCAAAACCTTCGAGTAAACTTTACTTGCTAAACTGGTCAAGCTGATCGCCCGATAGCACCCGCAGTCAAAATGTGAACCTTTACCTTTATATAAAGGCACAATGACCGCGGATCGCCAATCATCCGGGACATCTCCCGTCCGCCAGCACAAATTGCACAGCAGATGGAAGCTGTCCCAGACGCGAGGCCCACCGTACTTGACCATTTCAGCAGTAACTCTGTCTAGTCCCGCAGCCTTACCACATTTCAAACTTCGAATCGCACGTTCAACCTCTTTCATGCTGTGTATGACCTCAGTGTCATCGAGGTCCGTGTCTGGCGTGCCAGTCACGGCGTCACCCCCGGATCCTTCACTAAGATCATGACACGCATACATTTCTCTATAAAATTCACTCCATCGCTGCATGACGTCCGATTTTTCTGAGAGGACGTCATTGGTTCTCGAAAGCACTTTGTTCATTCTTAAGGCTGTCGCACCACTCCGGGACCTTCCAACCTCTTTCCAGAAGAGTTTGGAGTTTTCCCTAAAGTTGTGCGACAACCTCTCGTCCGCTTCTATTCTACACCTTTCACGTACTTCCTCAATCAATGTTTTCGCATGAACTTTCTGCAGCTTATATCTTTCTTTCATCTTCTCTCTCATATGCTCATCGTTACTAGAGGCCAAGTAGTCTAAACCATGCTTTTTTCTTCTTTTTTACAGCTTCTCTCACTTCATCATTCCACCATGCATCTCTTCTTTTACTACTACCTCTTTTTGTCGTACCACATACTTCTTCCGCTGCACTTACCATTCCATCCCTAAGGTTCTGCCATGTTCTCTCCACACATTCTTTCCTGCCATCGATGGTGTCAAGCTTTTCGGCTACCCTCGTGTGATATTTGTCCCTAGTACCCGCTTCCTGAAGCTTCCAGCTTCGGATGCGACAGACCGACTGTGGTTCTGTTACTGCCGTCTGGTAGCGCCAACCCGCGAACAAACCCCTAAATCTAGTAATTACTAGATAATGATCCGTTCCCAGGTCAGCACCCCTGAACACTCGTGTATCCATCACCTGTTTTCGCAGTCGGTCATCCACCAGGAACAAATCAATCATACTTCTCTCATTCTTTCTTTCTCTAGTGTACATATGGATTTTCCTGTGACTAAACATAGTGTTTGTCACAAGAAGACCCTTTTCCTTGCATACAGCCAGTATAAGCTTGCCAGCATCATTAACCCTTTTATCGCCAAACTTTCCAAGCACCGACTCGTATCCTGGTCGAGCGATACCTACCCATCCATTCAAATCACCACATGCAACAGTTCTTTCGTTTCCCTTAACCAAATCTAGAACTTCTCTTACATTCTCCCAAAACTCCTCCAGCTCAGCCCTGGACGACGAAGCTACCGGCGCATAAACAGCCAAAAGGAATAACTTCGTCAGTCCCATTTTGAAGCGAACCCAGAGAAGTCTTGAGTTCACAACCTTGTATTCAGTCATAAGATCGACCAACCGGGATGACAACAGCACTCCCACTCCCTGGCAGGCGTTCTCGCTTTCCGGGACTCCGGACCATATAGCTAACGTCCCGCCAGGGAGCTCTTCAGTACCACTGCCTTTCCGTTTGGTCTCCGACATACACACGACATCTAATTCTCTTTCTTTCATTATTACGATCAACTCATTCGTCTTATCTCTCATGCCCCCTCTAACATTCCAGGTGCCAACTCTGCACTCCGTCCTCCACCTTCCGCCGTGTCGGGCTGTGCGTGACGGGTGGCGGTCCCCATAGCCGCTTTGCGCGCTGCATTCCACACCAACGGGGACGAGCTGGTGTGCATCGCCTTGGGGGGACGCCCTAACCCTCGTTTGCATGGGTGCGCAGCTGTGTAGAATTGCAGCCCTGAAAAGGGCTGGCAGGGGTCGCGACGAGCACGCTTCTACAATGACCCCCAATTGTAAACTCTTATAAATATAGTAGTTTTATATCTTCTGGCAATGATGAGGGATATAAAAATAAAAGAATAAATAACAGCTATAGTACAGATTAAGTCTGTATAATTGATAGAATATCGCCATTTTGCATACGTAATTGAGTGTTTAATATATTGTGCTAGTAAACAATTTTTTTTCTATATGTGGAAAAAAGAAAAAGGTTTGGTGCTGATAATGATACTGAAGAATATAGAAATACTTTAATAAATCAGACAACCTTGATCAAGCGTCAATTCCATCGACGTTTAACAAAAAGGTTTCCGTACCAAAACATTAAACATTTTTTTCATAGTTGGTGTCACCTATAACTGCAGTGTTTTGTCTTTTTCTCTCATCATCAATGTCGGTGTCGCTTCTTTTAACTATTTAGTTTTCTTTCTGCTTCTTCAAATGACGATCTTGATAGCCTTTTCACACGACATTTGTGCAAAACAGAAATTGTTTATTAGTTTCGAGTGCGGTTTAGTTGTGTTTATCTCCATATTTCCGTGACACAATATCCTAGCCAACCTCTGATCTTATCGCTAGCGGTGCATTGGGTATCAACTTAAACATTTCTTTTCGTAGAGCCGGTCGAACTTTTACAACGTTTATCATTCAAGCACCCAAGCTTATAGAATATTTATACATAAGGTATAAACGCTTAAAGGGTAAGGTGGTAAACGCCAAGTTGGCGTCATTGTCGGATCCCATTCTTCATAACTTTCAAGTGGTTATCAATTGCACTGGGCTCAGCGCGAGAGACATCGTGCCGGACAACAGAGTGTTTTCTATACGAGGACAAATCGCAAGGGTAATTTTTATTATTCAAATATTTATATATAAATCATTAATTCACTACCTAATATCGTCCCGTGGATATCTTAATAGGCAACAGAGTAGAACAAACAAGGAGATGGGTACAAGCGTCTTCTTAATAACAACCAAAAAATAAAAGAACTGCCGTTGTTAAACCGCCTGCCAAGCAACTAGGGCAAAAATCTCCTCTGTTTATCAACTATAGTTCGTGCCAAATCAACTGAGAAAAACGGACATTGACCTTTCGGTCGTTTAACCAGGGACTACAAACCTCCAATATATAGGCACTTTTTATATGTAGTACTTTCCTTATTTATAATGATTTTTTTATAATGATTGATATAATGTTTATTTATTAACTATTATTGAAAAGTTATGCAAAAGATCGCTATAGAAGAAAAGTCATCTATTGTTATAAAGTACTTTATTCATTTAACAACAAAAAGCATTAATTTATAACACATAAATATTCGAGTGATAACGACACCGAATAAGTACGTACTTATTCAAAAGATAAAACTTTATTTTCAATATTATATAAGAACTTTATTTTTATTCGGTGCATGCGGACCGGCCCAAAAAAAAGTGTCGCATCTCTGGCTGCTATTGTCGTTTCTTTTAGACCGAACTGACGTAACGCGCATTTTGTTTATTTTAAAGGGATGAATTTGCAAAAGCTCAATATGGTGATTATATTGCTTCAATTTTTTTTAAATATGAAACTGTTATTAAATTTGCTGCGTTACTTACCATAAATTGGAATATAAAATATAACACATTTTTCGCGATGTATCGAATTTACGATGTTTATAAGAACCACAGACAATATTATTTAAGAAAAAAAAAACAAAACATATGTGCTGACCTAGAAGTGTGAATAATATCAATATGTAAGTTACACCTTTTGACACTCGGCTCATATCTGAGGTCATTGTCCGTTTTTCTCAATCGTCAACTAGCGATTCACCCCGGCCTCGCGCGCGTAATTTCTGAATCTCGACAACAGCGCCACCTGCCGGGTCCAAATGTTAATATAAACGATCTAGGGACCCAAACACACACAAAAAAAATCATCCAAATCGTTCGGATTGTTTCAAAGTCTAAAACGAACATAAGTGGTAATATTTTTAGTGTCATATACTGGATGACCTTTTTTACCATCTGGAAAAAAATTGGTTATAACATGTGAACGGAGTAGAAGAAGCCTATGGCACTAATATTTGACACTAAAATAAAAGCAAAAATTTTGAATTAAATTAATTAATTAATTAAAATCTATCGATATTCAAATCATGTCCACCCTACTTTACGAACGGCAATAAATTAGTAGGCATCTTTGACCTTGTCACTTCACAGGGTCACAAGCTCATGGGCAAAGGGTAAAGTAATTGTTAAATTTTTTTTCAAACGTTTAATTCAAAATTTATGTTTTTATTTTTTGTAAAATAACTGTGCCATGGGCTTCTACTCCGTTCACATGTTACACCTTATTTTTTCAGACAGAAAAAAGGTTATTCAGTAGATAGATGGCAGAGGCCTATGTTCAGAAATGGCTTTTGATACGGGCTTCGGGCGGCAACAAGCAGCATCTCGACATGCTGTGCCACTGCGTGTTAAAAACGTATATGCCAACCCGCAGCTATAATATGACTGCAACGCGAATGGTTCGTTCCACCGGGGAAAGACCACACTATTACAAAATAGCAGCATATTGCTTTTGTAGTATTATGGTGACCGGAAACTTTTTTCAACCGTCTTCAAAGAAAGAAAGAGGTTTTCAATTCCAATGTGTTTTTTTATGTGTGTTACCTCAGAACTTTTTTCTAGGTTAACCGATTTTGATGATTCTTTTTTTATTTGATAGCTGGTGCTTCTCATGTGGTCCCATATAAACTTAAACAAGAACTTACCAGTAGTTTTTTTCTTATAGGATAGGGTGAGAAACGAGTGCACAGTCTACCTGATGGTAAGTGGTTGCTGTGGCCCATAGACATCTATCCTCGATTACAAATCAAAATGCAGATGCGTTGTCACCCGTGAGTAGTAAGACGAAATGCCTTTGAAAAGTTTTTGAGTTATCCTTAAGGACGCGTTTACAAAATGGATAGGTATAGAATCGCACTACTACATTGACAAAAGTCACACACACACTAGTGTACGCACGGTTGGCTGTGGGAATCGTAGTCAAATGAAATTATTTTGATAATTTGAAAGATTGAATTTGTTTTTCATTTCTTATACCTACCTCAGAAATATACTTCGATACGAAATATGAATACCTGCTCCAAAGACTGCTTGGCACTGGAAGCCCTCTACTGGTAGTGAGATGTTAGCTCTGGACTTTGAACTGGTTTTGTCAGTTATAATAAGACCTTACCTACCTGCGGACTTGATGGAGTGACCTGAAGGTGTAATTTGGTGATTACAACAATAGGAACTCCTAGACTAGTGGAACTAGGTGTGCCGAGTTTGGGTTCGTTTTGTTGATTATGATGAGACCTTACCACCGGACTTGATGGAGTGACCTGAAGGTGTAATTCGGTGATTACAAGTGGAACTCCTAGACTAGTAGAACTAGGTGTGCCGAGTTTGGGTTCGTTTTGTTAGTTATGATGAGACCTTACCACCAGACTTGATGGAGTGACCTGAAGGGGTAATTCAGTAACTACTGCTGGAATTTCTGAACGAGTAGAACTAGGTGTGCCGAATTTGGGCTCCGTTTTGTTAGTTATGACGAGTCCATACCTCCGGACTTGATGGAGTGACCTGAAGGTGTAAATCGGTGATTGCAACTGGAACTCCTAGACTGGTGGAACTAGGTGTGCCGAGTTTGGGTTCGTTTTGTAGGTTATGATGAGACCTTACCACCGGACATGATGGAGTGACCTGAAGGTATAGTTCGGTGATTACAAGTGGAACTTCTAGACTTGTAGGACTAGGTGTGCCGAGTTTGGGTTCGTTTTGTTAGTTATGATGAGACCTTACCACCAGACTTGATGGAGTGACCTGAAGGGGTAATTCAGTAACTACTGCTGGAATTTCTGAACCAGTAGAACTAGGTGTGCCGAATTTCACTCCATCAAGTCCGGTGGTAAGGTCTTATCGTAACTAACAAAACGAAACCAAACTCGTCACACCTAGTTCTACTAGTCTAGGAATTCCATTTGTAACCACCTGATTACACCTTCAGGTCACTCAATCAAGTCCGGTGGTAAGGTCTCATCGTAACTAACAAAACGAACCCAAACTCGGCACACCTAGTTCTACAAGTCTAGGAGTTCCACTTGTAATCACTGAACTACACCTTCAGGTCACTCCATCAAGTCCGGAGGTATGGACTCTTCATAACTAACAAAACGAAGCCCAAATTCGGCACACCTAGTTCTACTCGTTCAGAAATTCCAGCAGTAGTTACTGAATTACCCCTTCAGGTCACTCTATCAAGTCCGGTGGTAAGGTCTCATCGTAACTAACAAAACGAACCCAAACTCGGCACACCTAGTTCTACCAGTCTAGGAGTTCCAGTTGCAATCACCGATTTAGACCTTCAGGTCACTCCATCAAGTCCAGAGGTATAGACTCGTCATAACTAACAAAACGGAGCCCAAATTCGTCACCCCTAGTTTTACTCTGCAAGAAGTTCAAATAGCGGTCACGAAAGTACACCTTCAGGTCATGCCATCAAGTCCAGAGGTAAGGTCTCATCATAACCAACAAAACGAGCCCAAACTCGGAACACCTAGTTCCGCTCGTCCACGAGTTGCAGTAATAGGTAAGTTTATATATCCTACTTATTTTTAGCTAAATAAAAACTGTGAGTATAAAAATAATAATTTTATCACTTGTCAAGTACCTATGTTTCCAATTTGTTTTTTTCTAATATTTTGTGTATGTACAGCGATCTTTTCAGAATGAGCCGCTGCAAACAGGCGATACAGTGTCCACTCACGACGGCGGCCGAGCGCGGACTGTGGTTTCATCGAAATCTTTGTACAATAAATCAAAGCAGGCACCAACAATAAAATAGCCCTTATTGCAATACATTATGATTCATCCATATTACCAAAATATGCGAAAAAATGTGCATCAGTTTTTATTTTTTTACGACTATTAGTGACATTTTGTTAAAAAATAAACCCAGGGTTTTTTAATTGAATATGTCTGTCATCTTATAGTATTTTTTAAATTTTTTAAATATGTTGATAATAGACCAAAACATTTACCGAAACACAAGCCGGTATCGTTAATTTTGTAGAAAATGGCAACGAAAGTTCGTTTTTACAATATAAAAAACTACTATTTTCAACAAAAGAGTTACAGACATTTGCAGATGAAGAACCAATCTATACATGGTAGTTTTTACTTATATTTGATTTGGTTTAGTTTTGTCACAAAATCTACCGAAAAACACCCTAATTTTGGTTGATTTGCAAACGCGTCCTTAATAATGCATATTTAATTGATTTCGACTACATTGATGATGTTCTCATTTTATTTATATTGAAGTCGGTGATACCAAATGTTTAAAAACCGCTTGTTTACTGTAAAAAATACATTTCATCTTCGATCTAAGTTCTCTGGGATGATGGGGTCTGCATTTTGATGCTTAATTTTGATAGATGAAAGCTCCATATGGACCATAGTATCCACTTACCATCAAGACGACTGTGACCTTTTACATTTTTGTATAACACAAATGTATTATATATATAAAAAAAACTTCCTTTTAAAACCTCCGGTAACCCGATTGGATGTAGTTTTTATAACTACTTTAGGATAATTTTTGTAATTAGACTCGTGAAATTTTAATACCTGTAGGTATTGTTAACAAAAAAAATATACTTATTATAGGTTAAAGCTCCTTGGCTTAACTACACCATTGTTGACGAAGACAGCGGGCATTATATTATTCCGAAGTAAGTACTTTATAATTCATTACGAAAAGGTTTATAAGCACTATTAAGTTTGAGTTATTTGAAGCAGTGAAGAATCCATCGCGCCGTACTGCGATAACGCATTATATTTTATTGACACCATTGATGATATGAGGCAGAGGATTATTTTCGCCACTAAAAGCCAATAACTACTGCTGAACATAGATTGCCATAGATTATACTCGACTTTAATTAGTTGATTCATAAAAAAAATCGCAGACACTGACATTGTTGTGTCGGGGTTATATTCCACAAATATTATTTCAGCTTAAGCAATCCCGAGTATCATTAATCTAAAATTTGGAGGGGTCAGAATTAGTTCCACTTGCACTACTCTTTCATCTTAAATACTTAATAATAAAAATAGCTTACATTGATAACATGATTTGAGTAAGGACCAAATATTTTAGACGGGTAAGCCGTAACGTAAGGTCACGGATATCATGAACAGGGGCTTCTCTTGGTCGACTCGATTTTTTAGCACCACCAAACATAATCTTTTTGAAGAGATCCTTCAATATAACAACTAGTAGGTATTACATTTTTAAAGGTTTCATACTCAAGTCATGATTTTTCTAAGTGATAGATAGTCACTAAATAAATTATTTGCATCGACTTAACTTTAAAATAATGGTAAAATATTTTTGCTGGTTCTTAGGTTTTTTGGTTAAAGAATACCGGATATTTTAATAAAAATGCCTCGTTGGTCTAATGGTTGTAGTAGTGCGACCGCTAATCGTGAGGTCCTGGGTTCGAATCCCGGGTCGGGTCAAAAAATCAATTATTGAGTTTTTCTGTCAAGAAATTCTCAGTAGCTCCCCGGAGTCAGGAAGTTGGCGGTGTCTCACCCCCGTGCCTCGTAAAACGTAAAGCCGTTGGTCCTGCGCCTGATCTCTCTCCGGTCGTGTCGGTTTACCGTCCCATCGGATTATGAGAGTGAGGGAATAGAGAATGCACCTGTGCTTGCGCATACACTTGGGCACTATAATCCTGTCCTGCGCCGATGGCTAGCCTCCGTTGAGGCAGGCCGCCGTGGCCGAAAATACGGTCTGGAGGACATTATTTTAATAAAATTGAAAAGTTATGATCATCATATAAAATGGATTGCTTTCAAGATTCAAAATAAATATTTTTTCTATATTTTGGTCGCATTATGTTTATGACCCAGAAATGTCAAAAGAATTAGTTACAATATTCATCATCATCAGCCCGCATCAGTCCACTGCAAGACATGCGCCTCTCCCGTTGTGGCGACGATTTCAAATCCCAGAAACGACCCGTGACTTGTTTTCTTTGACATATATAATCAGCACATTATGCACAAAGCAAATGAAAACGTTTACAATTTGCAGTGACGCAATTTGCGTGCTAGGTGGAACTCATCAAGCGAACGATTATAGGACAGAAATCGATGATAGCAACACTAAATTCATATTGGATGGATGCCGTCAAATGATACCGGGACTGAAGGTGATTGAAAACACGTTATGATTTATAATATTATTTTTCCACAAACTAAGAAAAGTTTTAAAGCTATGTAATACTATGTTTTTTTTAAACTCCTACAATACATTTATTTATGAGAAAATAAAATTTTGTGACAATTATACCGTGTCGTGCCATGTGATGGCGGCGTACCTAAATAAATTTTAGTTTCAGTTAGCGATGTGAACCGGTTTCATGAAAACCTTTAAAAAACCGGTTTTTTTAAAAACCTATAATCACCGGTTCTCATTGGCAAAACCGATTACAATCACAAAACATGTATCCTAGTCTTTGATATGTATCCGAACATGATTCTGTTCTGTTTAAAATGTTGTTTATGGTAGGGAAATTCCCCGATATCCCATTTTAATATGCGACTAACTTCACTATATTAAAATATTTCAGTTTCTGTTTTGCTTGCGAGTTCTTTAGAGTTAACAATATTTCTTTGCAAATATGCCTAAAGTAAAAAGTAAATCAATTACCAGAAATTATTTTGAAAAGATTGATAATGTTAGTGCAAAGTGTAAGCTATGCGCTAAAGTGATCAAAGTTGGAGGAGGAACTTCGAATATGTTGGCACATATTAAGAGAAACCATCCTCAGGCTACAGTGGAGGTGGATCGAGGTCAAGTGGGTGATCAGCCAGGTGCCACACAGGCACAGGAAACATCTACTAGCACGACACAAGAAAAACCAACGGATACTCCGCGCCCCATATTTCAGACTACTCTGAAAATGACCGCATCAAGTAGCAAAAAGAAAATCGATAAATATTTGACTATGATGATCGCCACGGACTTTCAGCCGTACTCAATTGTTGAAGACAAGGGTTTTAGGAAGCTGGTTGAAGCATTGAATCCGAGCTATAAACTACCAAGTAGACAGAGGATCAGGTCTGACCTAATGCCAGAACTTTACCAATGCGCAAAGTTACAGCTTGCTAGCATGCTTGAAAATATTAAGAATCTTGCACTCACTGCTGATATGTGGTCGAATCAAAACATGGATTGTTTCCTTACTGTCACAATACATTTTTTTAACCAAAACATTTTAAAAAGCTACGTATTAACTACATGTGATGTTCCAACTTCACACACAGGCGAAAATTTAGCTGAAATTATGACAGATTTACTAACAGAATGGAAAATATTAGGAAAAATTTCTGCTATTGTTACTGATAATGGTACTAACATGGTGAAGATGTGTAATTTGCTGGGAATACGGCACATGCCGTGTTTTGCCCATACGCTTAATTTAACTTTGGACGATTCTATGAAGCTTTCTCAGGTGGAGGACATAACTAACAAATGTAAAGCCATAGTGAAATTTTTTAAGAAATCATCTGTAGGTTGGCGAGCGCTAAAATTAGCTCAGAAAGAAAGAAACCCCGATTCTACTCCTTTGAAGTTGATACAAGAAGTATCTACAAGATGGAACAGCACATTCTACATGATGAAGAGAATACTACAGCTAAGTGACATTCTCGCATTGGTGTGTAGGAAATTAGATCAGGCGCCAGACTACTTAACTGCTTCCGAAGAAGAAGCAGGGAGAGAAGTTATCAACATTTTGGAAATATTCGAGGAAGCTACAAAACTCGTCAGCGCTGATCAATATCCAACTAGTTCACTAGTTATTCCGTTAATATGTGGACTATTTGAAAAAATTGAACACAATAGAAATTTGCCTAACAACAGATATAGGCAAGATGTTTCACTCATCAGTGAGGCGAAACATAAGTAGCAGACTCTTGGCATATGAGACAAGAACTGTATCCCAAATGGCTACATATTTACATCCAGTATTAAGAACAGGATTCCGTCACCCGGAGAACATGCAGTCGGCTAAAGAGTTAGTCAGGAAAGAATTATCCCATAACTTAAAAGATTGTGCCGTCAGCTCTATGCCATCGACTTCGGAGCAGCCAGGTAGTAGCACAGAACAGAAAAAACCTGGACTGCTAGACTTCATAAAACAAAGAAGACCCAATACTAATTTAACTGCTTCTGCAGTTAATATTTTACGAATGTATTTGGAGACAGATCCACAAAATGAAGAAGCCGAGATCACAAAAGCAGCTGAAAGTGCGGGAGCTTTTTGGTCCAGCAACAAACACTTGGCGCCATTAAATACAATAGCGCTAAAGTATTTAGCTATACCAGCCACATCGGTACCTTCAGAGAGGATGTTCTCTAAATCAGGATATGTATTGTCCTCTAGAAGGAGCAGGCTACAAGCAGATGCTGTGGACCAAATTTGTTTCATAAACCAAAACTACGATTTGATAGAAACAGGCAAAGTATAACATTTAAATATGGTAATTACTTATCTGATCGATGACCACTTCCTTTCTGTGATTGTTATTTTACCTCATTATTTTAAGAAAAATAAATAATAAGCCATAATTCAAAACTGGTATTTTATTAGGAAAAACCTTACTATCTTGACTCTGGTAAGTAATAAGAAACAAATTTATAAATATTTAACCATGATGATCGCTACTGACTTCCAGCCCTATTCAATTGTTGAAGACAGGGGATTTAGGAGATTCACAGAAGTTTTGAACCCAAACTATAAATTACCAAATAGACACAAAATCACTTTCCGCCGCTTTTGCAAGTCGTCTGTACCTCCAGAAAGGATGTTTTCGAAGTCAGGTTAAGTGTCTTCAAAAAGAAGCAGGTTGCAAGCGGATGCTGTCGATCAGATCTGTTTTCTCAATCAAAATTACGACTTATGCGATTAGTTATTTTCAAGTTAAAGGTATTTTGATTTTAATAAAGTAGATTTAAAAAAAAAGATTAGAGCTTTTGTTCTTTCTATAAAAAAATAAGAAAAAAACCGGTGCTGTTTTTTTCTTAACGTAATCGGTTTAAACCGGTGCTGAAAATTGTAATCGGTTAACATCACTAGTTCCAGTTCCAGTTGTAAGAGGCGACTATGGGATATATGAAAAAAATCTCACGGGTTCCGACAGATGGCGGTATAAAAATGTCGTTTGCGTCAGACGTTACATAGTGTAGCGACGGGAAGCAGCGTCAGACGTGCAAATCGTCTGGTACGGCTATAGAATACTATAATACACAATAGAATGGCTGTCAACCTTATTTTTGTTGTGTTGACAGATTGAGTAAATTTACACATTTTAGACTTTTGATTAATGTTCAAGATCATCATTAAAAAAATCGTTTAAATTTTAATACATATTTATTTGTAAATAGGGTGCAATTTGGCATTTTCAAAACAATTTGCATGCGAAATTTCGAAACAATTGTAACGTCAAAACACATCTCGTGTGGACATTTATACCTGTGAATTGACATGTTCTATTATGTATGTATTATAGTATTCTATGCTCTCAACGTATTTGTAAAATACGATGAGAGTGATTTTGAAAATAAAAATTTTGAAAGCAATAAAATAATTATTGTAAAAAGAATTATGGTGCACTCCGCCCACTCCCCCGTTCTATTACGTATGTACTCGTATTATAGTATTCTATGGGTACGGCTGAGGCTATAGGTGAGTTACTTGCGGATCAGACCAGGCGGAACAGTAGCGCCTTGATGTAGTTAATAAATAAATAGTGGTCACTATAGCTGAAAGCAGCTATAGGATCATCAATTTGGCTAAATTTTAATCTAGAACCTGCGACTCGGTTATGTAGTGCTCTAATGTCCAATGCAATTATTAATCAAGTCTCATTATTTAAATTTAACGATGAATGCGTACATGACACTTCAACTAACATCGTGGTGGCAATGACGGTGTAAGAGAATTCAACACCCTATCTTATTCGAAAGGTTTTTTTGTACAATAAGGGTGGCAAGCACACAGTCCACCTGATGGCAAGTGGTCGCTGTAGCCCATAGACATCGACATCTATCATCGATTAAGAAACAAAATGCGTAGTCGCCCCTGCACCTCAGATGGAATGACTAGGTTATCAGTATAAAGGGTCTCCGGTTCTCTACACTAACCATACGAAACACAGCATTATTCTGTTGTTTCACGATATTCTATAAGATCGTGGTCCTACCTCGGTCAAACCGAGACATTCGTGTTACAGCCATAATATAACTGGAGTGTGACTACCTCGTAAACCCAAGAACCTCGTAGGGATCAACTTAGAAAAATGTCTGGAAGATCTGATAGGTTCTGATCGATAGCGGTATAATCATCTCATATTTATAAGTACCATATGAAACATATCCAAATGGGTGACGAGTCTTTTTTATATATAAGAGGGTGCAAACGTACATGCGACTCACCTAAGTAAGTGATGAACAAACTACAAACGCCAGAGAAATTGCAGATGCGTTGCCGGCGTTAAGGATGTAAAAAGTTGCTACTATCAGCTGGCCAAGCTGATGTCGATGATGATATATTTTCTCATTCACTCTTTTAGCATGCCGAACTAATGAAGCACTGGATAGGTCTGCGGCCTGGTAGAGACGCGGTCAGGCTAGATGCGGAGGAGCGAGACGGAAAGATATACATCCACAATTACGGCCATGGTATTGTAACGGTCTTTTTACTTATTTTATTTTTTATTTTATCTAGATAATCATACAGGTTTATTTGTCGTACCTACAATACATAATATAGTGTAGTTTAAAATGTATTAGTAATTTAATTTCACACATTACAGTATATTCTAAATAAATTATTTTTTCTCCACAACTTTATATCCATAATTACGATACTTTCAAAAAAATTGCGTGTAAATGTAATAGATTAATGAAGTAGAAGCAGGGATATTTTAAAAATTTAAAGATTTTTTTAATTGACACTACTAATTTTATGTAAAATTCTTAAAGGCCGGTTCAAGGTAAGAGCATTACAAAAAGTATGGGGCACATGATTTTAATTAAGAGGAGTGTTACAAAAAACGCAAATTGTTGTATGTTTTCCGTTCGTTGCTTGAAATAACAATTACTTGGTAAAAATAGTTCGTTTTCTCTACTACAGTAAGCTCATAGCAAATTTTAGATAGCTTATTTATTAATTTGGTAATAATCATTCTCTCGATGCATGTTTAGGCCAAAAATCTGAGAGACATGATTTGGGAGCTTTAATTTGTAGGTTCCATTGTATATCAACCATCAAACAAAATATTTTTATCTCTCTAGTATGCTAAACTTTAATAATGATAGAATACATTTTCATTATATGCCTTTCACGTAAGGAAAAAACTTCGATGCAAGCCCCGATATCTCCGAAGTTCTACATCATTTTGACGTAAAATGTGTACCAAAATAATCATCATTTCTTAAACTATACTATGATTTCTACTTTTTAAATCGTTACTATTATTTTAATTAATTAAAATTACCATATATTTCCCTACGCCGACGATCCGAAATTATTAGCGCGCGAGCGGTTGTCTAGTTTGGACCTGTGTCACTTTATTTCGCGCGTTCCGTCCGATTCGATATTATCGTAGTGTGCGTCGATTGCCGTTATAGGCGCTGCTATTTTGGCCTGAGTTCCGAAATAGAACTCAACTACGATCGCAGTTTTTGATCGTTGGAAGTATTTACTTGCGTACAGTATATTTCAATTAGTATAAAGTTCGCACGTTAAGTATTATTATACCAGATAGTTAACTCATTATAGTTATTTTGATTGTAGTTGAGCTCTCTTTCCAGTCAGAATGGGGAGAAATAAGTACAAGTATCAATGTGTCACAAAATGTAAAAAAATAAATAACCTATCTCTGGAGAAATAATAACGGAGAATAAAAATGTCAACATGCTTGCCATATGGACTGGCCCTGATTATGCAGTAAAAGTACTAAAAATTTACAAAGACGACAAATTATTGGATTTTGAATATGTTATCCAAGTTTCAAGCGTTTTATAAAAAGTGTGTACTGCCTGAAATTACTGACTCAAGATAAGCTCGGTCAATGCCGTTGCGGCAAATATTTTTATAATAAAAAATATGGTAATTGGACTGTATCTATTAAAATAATATTAGTTACAGTTGGTTATTTTATTTATTAAAACAGGTTGCAACCGTACTATTAATTTATTTATACCACTATACTACCGTTAGTAGATATAATACATTATTAACCAACATCGGTTAACAATCGATTATTGAGAAACAAAATATTTATGTGCACTTAATTCAACATTGAGGTTCATAAATAATGAAAAATATCAAGTAGATTATCATAAATTAATTAGATAACATAATAATGACACACTAAAAATTTTCTATCCACTGAACTCCATCCTAAGAAAACTTGTATAATGGATAATCAAGATCGTTTAGTCGCTATACTCATAGTATTGTTACGAACTTAACAGTATCATAGTGCGAGCGAGTGAATAGATATTATGAAATAAAGTATTCATCGAGTAGGTCATCGCCTGTGTGAAATGTAAGAGGGCTTTTAAGTTAAATCGGTACGAGTAGATGAAAAATTGAAAAAAAAAAATATATTTATGCCTTAGGTTACAACGTCATTCAGCTATTATACTCTGTTTTTGTCCAACAGTAAGAAGTACGTGTAATTAAAACTTTAAGAAAGAAAAAAGTCTAGACTTATGTTTTGTTATGAAGTTAGTTATAAAGTAATAAAGCTTAATTAGAATTACGACTTGAACATTTGTAATCCTGAAATCCAAATTAAATTTTTGGTTTCACAGTCCTTTCTATCGTAATTATAATATTATTATTAGTAAAAATATTTTTCGCAGGTGGTAGTGGCCTGACTCTGTTCTGGGGTTGTGGTAATAACGTCCTGCAACTGCTGGAGGAACATTTGAGCTCAATCAAACCAACAATAACAAATTCAAAACTTTAATAAGTAAAACATGTATAGAAATATACAAAATATAGTATATGAAATATATTAAAATATACATTGTTGACAAACAAAAATTAACCTTGCAACCAAGTTTGCATAACTGTTTGGTAAAAATACATTTGGTTTTATTTTAAATATATAAATTAAGAATTATACTACGTAACAGTATTTCGGCCGAGTATTATTTCATAGGATAACACACCCTCATCTCTTGTTGTAACTTGGTAATTAGATATATAGGGCACCCATTTTCATACCAGTAGCCAAGTTTATCTGGTCCACAGAGAGTGTGTGTGACAATGAATGAAAAATGTGAAATGAAAAGTGACACCACGATACATGAGGAAGTTCTAGTGTGGAGGTAACTTTTTAAAAGAAAAGCAACAAAATTGCATTTTCCAATAATATTAATGTTCTATACAAAATATTCTTTTTTACATTCTCGACAAATTGGATAACCCTAACTTTTTGGGTTAATATCATAAATATAAGTATTGCACAATGTGATCGTTGTAGTTTACAAATTTTCGGGCACGGCAGCTTGCCTCAACGGAGGCTAGCCAACGGTGCAGGACAGGATTATAGTGCCCAAGAGTATGCGCAAGCACAGGTGCACTCTCTATTCCCTCAATCTCATAATCCGATGGGACGGTAAACCGACACGACCGGAGAGAGATTAGGCGCAGGACCAACGGCTTTACGTGCTTTCCGAGGCACGGGGGTGAGACACCACCAACTTCCTGACTCCGGGCAGCTACTAAAAATTTCTTGACAGCAAAACTCAATAATTGATTTTTTGGCCCGACCTGGGATTCGAACCCAGGACCTCATGATCAGCAGTCGCACTACTACAACCACTAGACCAACGAGGCAGTCACTTTACCAATTATAAGAAGATTGACTCATCAACATTAACATTACTGGTCTTTCGAGCCTGACCAAAGTATGTTTTCTTAATCTACAATTTCTTAATTTCCCTTTCTATAACTTATAACAAACGCATATTTGTGTACATATGTTTATATGATTATATGCTATCCACGTGTGGTTTTAGGTTAAAATCACATATAATTGTATAATATGTATTATGTACTACCCATGCGGTTAAAGAATGGGATTAACAAGTGGTAAAATTAAAAATTTTGTACAACTGACTTCAATATAAATAAAATGAGAACATCATCAATGTAGTCGAAGTCAATTAAATACGCATTATTAAGGATAAATCTAAAACTACTGGTCAGATCTTGATTAAATTTATATTGGACTATATGAGAAGCACCAGCTTATAGTCATCAAAATCGGTTCACATAGAAAAAGTTTTGAGGTTAACACACATTAAAAATACAGTCGAATAAAGAACCTCGTCCTTTTTTCAAGTCGGTTGAAAATGGCGTCGCCTCTATTCTACTCTCACTCCCACACTGTCTCTTTCTATACTCACACCCTCCGGTAAAGACTGCAAAAAACACGTTGCGATATGCGTTTATCGTGTGTTCTATAACTTCAAACTTGTCATTGGAATCAATGATAACAAAGTTCCATAAAGTACAAAAAAATCAGTTCGGTTTTGTTAATTTGTGAGCTACGACGTGTTTTGAGAGTTTTCTTCATAATTATTGTTGATTTTGTTTGTGAATATTTTTGTATAAAAAATTTACGTGCCATTGAGACACGAGTAACCATTTTAAAATTTTCGTTTGTCTGTCTGCCCGAGCCAATATCTTAAAAAAAACTTCCCGAACAAATAAAGAATAATACCAGGAGTGATCTAGACTAGATTTTATACAAAAATATATAGATTTTAATAAAATCTATCTCTATCTATTTAATCTAATAAAGCTACAGTAATTAATCTCATCCAGGAGAAGCTAGAGCGGATTGCTAGCTATGTTATTATAAAATTAATATACCTACTTGAATATACAATTATTTTCAAATATTTTCACATTATATAAAATTTAAAATTAACTGAATAATATAACGTTATAACGATATGCCGTTATTAGCGGTTCTTCTCTAATGTTACTGTGCATGCTGACGGTACGGGCTTGATAAGTCGTCATCCATCCCATTCTTTATCCGTACGAACTTTATATAGAAACTATACATGTTGCCTTGCGTAGATCCACAGTTGAAGTTATGACTTCTTTATGGTATCATAAATGTCGGTCCTCCTTTGAACTCTGATCGGTATTTGACTTCTTACCTCGTCCACTATTGAAAGGTCTGTAATTTTCAAAGTTACTATTTTATTGACAAAAAAAAGGGTAGCACTCGGGGACTGCCGCGGTAAAGCTATTGCATAGCATTTTTATCAACTTATGCAATTATAATTATTTATTTACTTTATTTATGCAGTATTTTTTCTGTGTTTTTTTTTTCTTTGATATAAATTCAAGTTTTTTCTTTGATATTAATTCAAGTTACACTTTTTGAGTGTGGTGACCGATAAGAAAACAATTTTTTTCTTTTATTGAATAAATGAGAAGTTAATATTGTTTAAAATATTATTATTATCTTACAATAGACGTAGGTTAATCAGGAATTTTTATTATTGAAACTATAGTTTTATGGTAATTAACGAGTTCTTCCGACAAACGATAATTTTCTATAAAGTCTGTGTTTATTAAATACTCTAAATTCACGAAAGTTGCTATCATGACGACGACACATATAAATCCAAAGAATATGCTTCTTGCATTAAACTATATTATTGTTTAAAATATTTTTACTATCTTATATTACATGCAACTAGTCTACACGCATGCCTACGTCGCACGCACACAAACACCGTGCCGAAGTCTGCCGAATTTAAACGACGTTAGACGATGTTAGGTTTTCGGGTCTTAGGTTTTTTTCGTTACGGAATTTCTTGATTCGGTCGCCGCGCTCAAAGCCCACGATAAAAGCTATGCAATAGCTTAAAAATTATTCTGGATATATTTTATAAATTTAACTGTATAATATAAGCCGATGGTGTGGTTCCAAAGTTCAAGTTCCAAAGACTTGTACATCCTCCATCATGAATCAAAATATAGATGGGTATAAATATAGATGGGTATGGACCCCTGAGGACTAAGATAAAATACCTCGTTACCACTAGAAAGAGTCTTCCGTTTTCTACACTCTTCATATGAAGCCAGCAGTAGTATTAAGCTGATATTTTACGTTGGTATTCCATGCATGTGGTCCTTTTCCGATCCGGATCTAGCCGACACATTCGTGCTGCTACCACATTACAACTACATCACTGCAGCGTGGCTGGATTACTCTACCAAGGATTCAAGTGTTTATTTGCTAAGTAAGTGTACAATAAGGTCCTAATATACAATACAAATTTTAGTTAAATTAATGAGAGAGATCACATGCTTGTTAATGTCACTTAGATGCGTATTTTGCACAGCGCACACGCCCTTTTGGGGGAATGGGATAGTTGCATCGTTTATTATTTCCTTCGCGGCAGGAATAACTGTTAGGATATAACTGGGTAATGAATGTATGGAATGGTATAAGCGTATCTACTATCTCACAATATTTCATGAGTGTCGTAGGAGACCACAGAGTGAAACTGATACATTAGATGGACAGTAGCATCTTCCTGAGAACAACTTAAATCTTTTAAAAACTGCGGCTAACAGCCCGCCAGTCAAGCATGGCAACTATGATATAATCTTCGTGTGAGGATGACCTCAGCTGTGAACATTTATAGGCTGTAATGGAAAGATAAATTGCATATTGGTAGTTGTTAATTTGTAATTTTTAAATGTTTCATTCCCAAATAAAAAAATAACAAACATATTAACGTATCTCGTATCTGTATCGAGATTATCGATATATCCTTAGGACCCTATCAGTGACACTCCGCAGTAGAGTAACCCTAAAGTTCTGCGCACACAGATCTGTGACGGCGAGCAGTGTCGGGATGGTCTGCGAGCCGCGCCCGCACGGCCTCCCAGGGGTCTACGAGCGAAGAGTGGCCCCAGGACAAGTAATGCACACAGACCTATGTCGGGTAAGGAGAGTGTCGGGCTGGTCGGCGAGCTGCACACACACGGTCTCTAAGGGTCTACGAGCGCGCAGTGGTCCCAGGACACATAGTGCACACATACCTATGTCAGGCTGGTTTGCGAGCTGCGCACGAACGTCCCCCAGGGGTCTACGAGCGCGCAGTGGTCCCAGGACACATAGTGCACACATACCTATGTCGGCGGGGAGAATGTCGGGCTGGTCGGCGAGCTGCGCACACACGGTCTCTAAGGGTCTACGAGCGCAAGTGGCTCCAGGACACATGGTGCACACAGACCTATGTCAAGCAAAGGGAGTGTCAGGCTGGTCGGCGAGCTGCGCACGAACGCCTCCTAGGGGTATACGAGCGCCGAGTGCCCCAGGACAGGTAGTGCAAACAGACCTATGTCGGCGAGGAGTGTAGGGCTGGTCAGCAAGCTGCGCCCGCACGTACCCCAAGGGTCTACGAGCGCGGAGTGGGCCAGGTCACGTAGTGCACACATACCTATATCAACGAGGAGAGTGTCGGGCTGGTCGGCGAGCTGCGCCCGCACGGCCCCCCAGGGGTCTATGAGCGCGGAGTGGCCCCAGGACACGTAGTGCGCGGAGGTGTCTCGTGCAGGGGCGACCAGCGCAACCCACAGCTGCTGGTCAACGGCGCGCGCGCGTCCCAGCAGCTCCCAGTGTCGCGGGCCAGTCGTCATGTTGAACGCTCCCGGGTACACCAACAGCGAACAACCTGCTTTTTAAAAAAACTGACCATCAGAACCGCTCTTCACATTTCTATACAATTTTAGTTTTTATATAAGAGGGGGTAAACGAGCATGCGGCGCACCTGATGGTGACTACCGCCGCCCATGAACAACTGCAAAACCAGGGGAATTGAAGGTGATTAAAAAAGAGTAGGCTCTTTTCTTGACGTTTCCTAAATCATATCGGTCTCCAAAAAATTAGATGATTCCACGGACAAGTTGTGCAAGGAATAAAAC